TTGTGCTCCCTCTCTCGCTGTGTCTTTCTCTGTCAAATAAATAAAATCTTTAAAAAAAAAAAAAAACAAAAAAACTGTCCCTTAACTCTTAGCTTTGTTTATCATATGTATTGTTTATATAATGTCTTAATATTAAACATGCCCATCACATGGGCTCCTGAAGTTTGTATTACATAATCATTTTGACAGTTGTTCTAAAGTTTGAAAGCTCTGTACTCCATCTGAAGGAACTGTTGACATACAAGGTTTTCAAAAAAGTGTTTGGAAAAGGGGGAGACTTAAGTTGAATCATGGGAATTCCTCTAGTAGCTTATAGCAGCCTGTCCTTTTGGAATGGATTTGTAACCTCTGATTGGTGATTGTGTAGAATGGTGAATTAGAGAAGAGACCACCAGTAATCAGTAGGGCAGTGGTAATAACTGAACTCTCACAACCACCCTGTGAAATAAGTGCTGTATAATCTCTGTTTATAGCTGAGGCAGTTACAGCAAAGAGATCAGGTCACTTGCCCAAGTTCTACAGTGAATAGTGGTGGAAGTGGGATTTGAACCCAGTAAGATGGAGTTGATTCCCAAATCCTGCACTTAGGGATGGGTGGGTTTTTTTCCTGGAAAAACTATGATTTTTTTCTTTTTAAAAGTGGTAGCAAAAGTACTAAAGATAGACTGCCTTTTTCTGCCTCAGAAAAGTTGAAATCTAAATTTTAAAAATGCTTATGCTTTAAATCAGCAGTATTTCTTAGGAATTTATCCTAAAAACATTCTCATATACAGTAATCCACAAATATTAATCAGGCAGTTGTACAGAGTTATTTATATATATATATTTATGTATATATATGGATGTTTGTGGCAATGCTATTGTTTGTAATAGCAAAAAGAGAAGGAAGGAGCTTAATGCTCACTGCAAGGGCATTGATTTGAATTATTTAATTTACATCCATATAGTAGAAAAGTATACATCCATTAAAATTAAAATGAGTGGCAGAGAGTTACGTTTAACTGATGTGTAAAGATATGCATCTCAGTGTTATATTTTAAAAAGCGAGTATGAACCTATATAAGATTTTGTATAGAGATTTCTTTTTTTTTTTTTAAAGATTTTATTTATTCATTTGACAGGGACACAGCGAGAGAGGGAACACAAGCAGGGGGAGTGGGAGAGGGAGAAGCAGGCCTCCCGCCGAGCAGGGAGCCCAATGTGGGACTCGATCCCAGGACTTTGGGATCATGACCTGGGCCGAAGGCAGATGCTTGACGACTGAGCCACCCAGGCGCTCCTGTATAGAGATTTCTAACTGTTAAGGATAGTGATATCTATAGAAGCAGTGGTTGCTCTGTACTTCTATATTACCTGATTTTTTTTTTCAGTGAGCATTAATCTGTTTTTATTGATTTAAGATTAAAATTTGTATTTATTAATAGAAAAGATTAAACTTCTTAAGGGAGTTTAATCTTGTGTGATTTTTCTTTTATTGAATAATGTTTCACCAAAAACCAAATTGTAATAAATTGTTTTCTAAAACCTAACTTTAAAAAGTTGGAAATGGAAGAAGTTAAAGTACTAAAAGTGTGATTTATTAGATAAGCAATTTGACAAGAATTTTATGGAAATGGGAGAGAATAAAATTTAAGCTTTTTTATTTTTTAAACATGAGAGTAGCCATGGTTATGTAGGTAGATGATAATATAGCTTAAGGAAAAGATGTAGTTCCAAACATGAAGTAATATTAAAATCTCTTGCACATATCATTTGCAGATATACATATTTTTTTTCAAAGTAAAACTTTTGCTTGTATTTCTCTTACATGGTAATTATTAAATCTGTTTACATGTGATATCACTGTGATTTATAGAGATTGGCATTAATAATTAAGAATTCTTGGTGAGAATTCATTACCTCATTGCAGAATAAGATATTCTTGTCAGACTTCATGCTACTTTTGTAACCTGTTCTGTTGTAGTAGGCAGTGCTGTTTAACAGAAAGGATTTTGTAACAATAGAAACAGATTTATTGCAACCTTTTTTTATTTTTCAACATAGGCCGACAAGACCTACATGTTACGAGAATATACATCACGAGAGAGCAAAATTGCTAATTTAATGGTACAGTATTTTAATATCAGTTTTTAGAAGTTGACTTTTAATGTTCATTTGGTATGTTTCCACCCAAATCTGCATCCCTAAATCTATCGATTCACCTAATAAGCCTCTAAAAGATAAATCCTACAGGAGCGTAACTTTTCTGAGCTCACCTCAAATACAAAACCAGTTAAAGTTGTTGTAGGTACCAGAGCCATCATCTAATCTAATTTCCACTTTTTATTCTGGAAAACCAGACCCAGAGGTGTGTATTACACAGCTATTTGGTGGTGGGTCTGCAACTGTTCTTTTCACTTAGCACCTGGTCACCCTGTGATTTCTTTCTACCCAGTCTACTTTTTTCTTCTTAAAATGTGGTAATTTTGTACCATACCTTGTTTTGGCTTAATTTTCTTTCTTTTTTGCTCCCCTGGGACTTGTAAAGGGCTTCTGCAAATCTGTAGGATTCTATAATAGGTTGCTTCAAAAGTGATACCTTTTTGCAAATATCACTGTGATTTAGAGTGATTGGCACCCCTAGTGCTTATTTCTATGTGGGTGTAGAGTATACGTGGGTTAGAAACATTACTTAGAGTCCATTGTAGACCACAGCCTGGCTCTATCTGAAGGCTAGTGCTTTCAAGGTACAAAAACATCAGGGAAAGGCGATTAGATTAAGATGCAGTAATTTTTTTTTTTAAGTATGGAGCCCAACACGGGGTTTGAACTCATGACCTTGAGATCAAGACCTGAGCTGAGATCAAGAGTTGGATGCTTAACTGACTGAACCACCCAGGCGCCCCAAGATGTATTAAATTCTTAATACATCTGTGGTAGCATTATAAATAACATATCCCTGTGAGCTTTGAGGAAATCATTCAGTAAGAGGGCTGCATAATTTGGTAACAAGAGATGTTACCATTAGAAACACCTTATGATGCTCCTCACATACATGTATTATAGCTTATTTTAAAATTGGTGTGTTGGGACGCCTGAATGACTCAGTTGGTTAAGCGTCTGACTCTTGGATTCGGCTCAGGTCATGATCTCAGATCCTGAGGTCGAGCCCCACGTCGGGCTCTGTGCTTGGCACGGAGTCTGCTTGAGATTCTCCCTCTCTGCCCCTCCCCCCCAGAAATAAATAAATAATTCTTTAAAAAAAAATAGAATAAAATTGGTGTGCTGTATGAATACTTGAACTAAAGCATTTTGAAAAGGTACCAATGAGATAAGTGAATATGTGCTAATATGATTTATGTGTTTCCCAGCATGTTTCACCTTCCCTCTTCACGGAACCTAATGAAATATCACAGTATTTACCGATAAAGGAGGCAGTTTGCGAGAAGCTACTATTTCCAGAAAGAATTGATCTTAACCCTGCAGACTCACAAGAAAGTACACCTGTGGAATAGAATGTGATACAACATATACTGACCATGGAATCTGACTGGAGACCTTAGCTATTTGGAGGGGGTATTTTTATTATGAGAATTAATTGCCTTGTTTATGTGCAGATTTTCTGTAGCCTTAAAGGAAAAAAAATAAAGGATTGTTGCAGGCAGGTTCCACTCAGCTGCTGTTTGTACTGTCTATCTTCAAATTCATATTCCAGATTTATATTTTCTGGAGTTAAATTTGGATTTCTAAATTGTTACAAAGTGGGATCTCACTAGTAGTGATGTGTCTATGTCTCATGAGCAGTGGGCATAATCTGCATCCATCATGAAACACTGTCTTCTACCATGAGGAGGCTAATGTAAATCACGGAATCACAGCACCTTGTGACTTTCACGGGATTCCTGATTGTGCATGTTGATGTACTAGCTCTTTGGGCTTTTTGATGTTTATTCGTACTTCTGGAGAGTCATGAGTTGCCTTTTAGGAAATTGGTGTCGTACTTTAATGATCTTTACCCACAAATTAAAAATATATATATTTCCCCTCTAAATTTAAATTGGCTTTTGAAGGCTTTGAGAAAATTTCAGACACAGAACCGAATAACCTAGGGTTTTGGGAAACTGAAGGTGTTCTATCCGTGGACACACCTGAACATGGTTTGCCAGCCACAGGTAGGATGTCAGAGCTGTCCTTCCTCCATCTTGAGGTGCTTTTTCTTATGTGTGCTTCTACTTGTACTGATGTTTTTTACTTCATTTTCCATGCAACCTTGGAATGAATAAATCCATTGAATATTGAATTTGTGTTGTTGTCCAGCTAATTTTATTAGCTAAATTTTGTCACAAGTGATTTTGGTATTTGTTTGCCTTCTGCTACATCACCTGCAAGGTATAGGAAATCAGGATTTTGTTGGCTTTAAGAAAATACATGGCATGTTCACTGTATATTAAATATACCTGTATTTAATGTTTTCTCTTAGGACAGAAAAGTGTATATATTGTGCTTGGCCTTCTGTTGTATTTTATTTGCCATGCGGATTTGAACAGAATAGACTCTTTATTCATACAAGATACAAGAAATGAAAAACTTGTAAGAATATTCATTAGTTGAAGTTTCTGGGCAACATCATTATATATATTCTTAACTTGAGTCAGTTGTCTTAGTCTCTGAGTCAGGTTTAGATGACTTATTTTCAGAATCTATTGCTAAAAATTGTGGGAAATTAAAAGAATTGACCTTTTTTTATAGAGGGTGGGAAGTTGATAGGATGAGTGTACTTCCGGAAGCTCCTTTAGTTTATTCCTGTGGAGAATACCCAGAAAACCTGTATTTGCCCATTGCTAAATAAGACATATGCCATTTTATATTTATTTGTTCCAAGTGTCTTTTTGTAAGAAAAGAATAAACAATAAGGAATTACTGATCTATGTTTTGCTGTTTCATTTATTTCCGTTTTTCCTGAAGCTTAATTTAAAAAATGGTTTGGTATACTTTTTTCATTTGTGCTCTGTTTTGAACTTGGTCAGCATTATAGCCAGATTCTGCTGGCAGATTATCATGAAAATCTAAAGATAGTCCAGAACATAATCCCCCAGTTTGGCTTTTGGGCTCTTGTTCCTCCTCTTTCTCACCCCTCCCCTCCCACTACTTCTGTGGATGTTTTAACCAGCCAGTGTTTGCTGTATGATGAGTTAATGTTTTTGAAAATAGAGATACCTGCCATTAATATCATTCCATTTAGTTTTAAGTGCTATGTGTCCAATATGGCACTAGGCAGAAGGGATTACAATAACGAAGAGCCATAGTTAGGTCTTCACAGAGTTAAAGTTTAATGGAGGAGACAAAGTAAAAATAATTACAAATTTTAATAAGTATAATTGATGGCAATAATAGCGATTTCAGAAAATAACAAAATCACCGTTAGTAGAGGTAGTCAGAGTTCTGCTTCTGAACAGGGTGTAGAAAGCTGCAAGAGACTGTCACTCCTAACTTCACAAGGAAAAAAGCTGGAGAATCTATAAAGTTACAGCTTTTGTTGAGCATGTCAGAGAACTGAGGTTGGGGGACAAAGCAAACGGAATCCCAAAGGGTGATAAGTCCTCCAACAGGAGGTGGTGTAAAGACACGTTACATTTTAGAAAGAACACTTAAGTCACAAGTGGCCACTATACAAGCAACTAAACATAATCTAGAATGTGGAATTCCTAAAGGAATTTAAGAATTTGGAATAGCTGAGAGTTTCAAATAAGGGGACTTAACACACGCAGCTGAGAGTTTCAAATAAGGGGACATAACACACACACACCCCTTTAAGAATTTGGAATAACCGAGAGTTTCAAATAAGGGGACCCCTCCCCCACACACGCTCGCGCGCACCCTGGTCTCTCCCAATGGCCTACACCAAGTGCTCATAAGAAACCCTGGGGGCAGGGCAGGGGACCAGAAAGCTCCTGTCAGTGGTTCAGGCATGCAGGAGGTAATTGGGTTCTGCTGAGGTATAGGTAGATAGGAAACCCTGCCCACTTCCCCAGACCCTTTTCTTGAAGGATGTAAAAACTTTAGGCTGCTGAGGGAGGTGCACCAAATCATATCACCCCTACCAGGGCACAGGCAAAAATCTATTATTTCTTTTTTTTTTAATAATTTTTTTTTTAAAGATTTTATTTATTTATTTGACAGAGAGAGAGACAGGAGAGGGGGAACACAAGCAGGGGGAGTGGGAGAGGGAGAAGCAGGCTTCCAACATGGAGCAAGGAGCCGGGACCTGAGCCAAAGGCAGACGATTAACGACTGAGCCACCCAGGCACCGTGGATTTGTCTTTTACCGAATCACCCCCACGGTTCCTATCCCACTGGCCCTCTGAAGCAGCGTGTCCACACTGGTGGTGGTACAACCCACAAGCCCCGCACGTTCACATGCCTTTTGTTTCAAGGGCAGAAGGCAGGACACACGGAGAAGCAGTGCCCTGGGGTCTAAACGGTGTTACTTGTGAGAGGGGGCATCCTGGTGCTAGTGCCACATCTCAAGTAAGAGAAGAGCCACGTGTTCTTTCACACATTTGTGTGTGTGTGTGTGATTTGCAGGCTCCCCTACAAGCATGGGCCGAGAGGAGAGGCCATCCTGCCCAGTTCTGAAAGAAATGTGGCTCTTACGCTTGAGCTGAGATTACAGATAAGGCCTTTCTGAACAAAACCTCTTTTACTGTGATGAGTGGTGCCTGGCTGGCTCAGTCCGTGGAGCGTGAGACTTTTGATTTCTGGGTTGTGAGTTCGAGTCCCACGCTGGGTATAGAGATTACTTAAAAATAAAATCTTCAAACAAACAAACAGCCTCTTTTACTCTGATGAATGCAGGGAGTGGAGGTGGAGGAGGAGGGCAGACCAATTGTCTTACCCGGTAGACAAAAACAAACCTATCTATACCTGCTGACTTGCACAGCATGGCCATTTTAAGTGTTGCCCATCTGCCCATCTGTCTGTTACAATTCACACAATCACAAAAGCAGACACAAAGTCTCTCATTCACTCATTCATTCATTCACTTGATGGTATTAACTGAGCACATCTTCTAGGTGCCTTTCTGGGTTGGCAGAGTAAAAAAATGACTGGAACTGTGAGGACTCACAAGGTATAGGGGACAGACTTGAACATGAATAATGGCAACAGCGCGGGGTTTAAAATGCTATGGGAGGACAGAGGAAGGAGCAACTGCCACGTCAGTGTGGACTGGGCTAGAGGAGGCTTCAGGGGAGATGGTGGAGTAATACTAGCTTCCATAGATGCCACAGAATGCCTGTCATGTTCCAGGCTCTCCTCACATACTGTCACGTGTACTTCCCACAAAATCTCTCAGAGGTACCCGTTTATGTCCATTTTACAGATGAGAAAATTGAGGACCAGAAAGCTTAGGTAACTTGTTCAGTGCCACATAGCTGGTAACTGATGGTTCTATAGTTGCACCTCCCAGATCTTCCTAACTTCACAATGGATGAACTTTCCACCGTGTCTTGGTATTTGAGGAGTCTTGAAGGATGTGTAGGAATTTACCTGAGTGGAACAAGGGCGTAAGAGCAACAGGGGAAAAACAACAGCATTTGTTATTGGAGATCTGAGATGTAAACGAAAATTGTGGCAGAGCATGTTTGAGTATCTATAAAGATGAGGTCACATGATTACAGCCATCTGACTGACTTGAATAGGGTCCTGTGCAAATCCCTTTTGCCTGGTTGATTTATAATTCCCAAGAGGCCCAAGTTCTAGGTAACATCTAAATTCTCTCCTCCCAGACACACATTCCTACTCTTTCACAAGTGTTCTTGGAGAGGGGGGCGGTGAGGGAGACAGCGGGGAGATTCTCCAGTGTGTGCTCCCCACAACCTCACTGTGGATTTGCTTTTCTGAGCCGATCTAATCTTGAAGTTAGCTTTCCAGACATTCCCCAGGCAGCAGTCCGACATGCGAGCCTATGTGTCTCCGGCCCTGTCCTGGGGGTTGCACGGGCGACACGGATTCTCCAACCGGAAATCATTAGCGCTGGAATCCGCTTCGAGGGCGGCCCAACAAGCTACTATGCCTTTCTCCACTCCCTCATCCAAGTTCTACCCTCTCCTCGAGTTTCTGCCCAAATCATACCTCTAGAAGCATTTTCAGTTGGGATCACAGGAGCTTGGTCTAGACTTTTTAAAAAAATCGTTTCACTTGAGACCACCTGGAATAAGTTCCATCTAGAACAAGCGCTGTGGCAACATTAACAAGAAAAACACTCCTGTGCCCGGTAGGCACGCAGCGTTTGTTGACTGAACTCAGGAGGGCCGGGAGGGGGGCGGGTCCGGCTTCCACCCGGGCGCGGGAAGGAGGCCAGGCCGCCGAGCGAGGCTGGGCGGAACTTAACCCCCGCGCCCCCAGGGCGTCCCGCCTCCCGCCCCCGCGGCCGGCCCGTGAAAGGAGAGGGGGAACACAAGCAGGGGGAGTGGGAGAGGGAGAAGCAGGCCTCCCGCC